AGCAGGTGGTCGCCCTGGGATTAGTCGGCTGGCATAGCGGGTTGGATACAGGTTAATCAAAAAAAAAAGCACACCAAACCCTCGATCTGGCAGTCATCCGTGGTGCGATCACTGCAAGATCCCCGGTCATACAAAGAAGATTTGCTGGAAAATACATGGAAGACCCCTGGGTAAGCAACCATATCGACCATCCGGTCATGCGGCAGCAGTAGAAAACTCTCCATTTAGTCAGAAGCAAATGGAGGTATTACAGAAGATGCTCCAAACCACCATTCAGTCAGCAATTGGAGAAAAAAGTACAGATGCCATGCCACAAGGTGAGCACTTACCCACAGTCCTAAATGTGAAACTAGGCACAGGTGAATGGATCGTGGACTCTGGGACAATGGACCATGGACCACATGACCAAAGACATCCGGGTACTCCATAATCTCCAACCGGATACAACTGGGGCTAAGGTTCACCAATGGTTTACTATCCGATGTAAAAGGGATAGGTTCGGCTTATATCACCAAAGACATCACTCTCCACGCTGTGCTCTATGTCCCTAATTTGACTTATAATTTGATGTCATTTATCAAGCTTATGAAAGACCAAAACTGCATCACTAAAATGTCTCCTGTTGTATGTGAATTTCTGGACTCGGTCTCGGGGAGGACGATTGGCAGTGCTAGAGCTCGTGGAGACCTCTTCCAACTGGAACCTGATTCTGCATTTAATCCACCTAGGACACCTACAAATAAGTGTTTTCAATCAAGCCAACGAAGGAATGATCTTTTCTTATGGCATCTTAGATTAGGACACCCTAATCTCATGTACTTAAAAGGACTATTTCCTAAATTTTTCAATAAAAGTTCTATTCTGTTTCAGTGTGAAGTGTGCCAACTCTCTAAATATACTCGAAATCAGTATCTAATTCAGCCCTATAAGGCTTCACACCCATTATATTTAATTCACAGTGATGTACGGGGACCATCTAGAGTAAAGAACTTATCTGGATCTAGATGGTTTGTTACCTTCATTGATGATCATACTCGTGTCACTTGGATCTTCCTTATGAAAGAAAAATCCGCGGTTAGACACATCTTCCAAGCTTTCCACAAAATGATAGAAACTCAATTTCACACAAAGATTCATGTGTTAAAAGCAGATAATGCAACTGACTTCTTCGAGTCAAACCTAAGGAAATATCTGACTGAAAATGGGATTCTTCATATTAGCTCATGTGTTAGCACCCCGTGGCAAAACGGAGTTGCTGAGAGGAAAAACAGACACCTCTTAGAAGTGGCTCGCTCCCTGCTTCTTACCTCTCACGTTCCATCGTTGTTCTAGGGAGATGCAATACTATAAGCAACCTATCTAATAAACCGCATGCCATCTAGAGTTCTTAACTTCGAAACACCTCTTCAAACCATTAAGTCCTTCTATCCACATATCACGTTCCTAGCCAATCTTCCTCTTAGAGTATTCGGATGCACAGCCTATGTGCACATTCCTCCACAAAATCGCAGCAAACTTGAACCTAGATCAATCAAATGTGTTCTTTTAGGTTACTTAAATAACCAAAAAGGATACAAATGTTATTCCCCATCCACAAAAAAGGTATACAACACCATCGATGTCACCTTCTTTGAGGACTAACCCTTCTACTCCAAATCAGATCCTCAGGGGGAGAATGCATCTCATGAATATCCAATTTGGTCCATGCCAATATCAGTCCTATACAATCAGCCCAATTATTCGTTCAATCCACCTAATGACTCGTCCACACCATCCTCCTCACATACCTCACCAAGTTCGAGCTCACAAGATAAAGACCCAGAAGAAATCCTAGTGTATTCAAGGCGGAAAAGGGCTACAGAAGGAGAGGTCAACACTCCAGCTTCACATGAGACCAATCCGAGTAAGAATCCTAGCAATGAGACAAGTCAATATATGAGCCCTAATCCATGTACAGGTGATGATGGTGATGATGCGGCTGAAGTAAATGAGAATCAAGATTATCTTGATGTTCCGATAGCCATCCGGAAGGGAAAAAGAACGTGTACAACACACCCAATCGGGAATTTTATGACTCACGAGAATCTGTCACAAACCCACAAGGCGTTTGCGGCATCATTGGACTCCCTACAGATTCAAGTGAATGTACAAGAGGCCCCGGAACACCCGAATTAGAAATCCGTTGTTGAAGATGAAATTATGGCTCTCGAGAAAAATAACACTTGGGAATACACCACCTTACCTCCAGGTAAAAGAACTGTGGGATGTAAGTGGGTTTTCTCAGTTAAGTATAATGCAGATGGGACGGTGAATCGATTCAAAGCGAGACTCGTAGAAAAGGGATTTACTCAATTGGATGGGATTGACTATGGGGAAACTTTTGCCCCTGTAGCCAAGCTCAACTCCATACGAGTGTTACTTTCACTTGCCGCAAATCTCGATTGGCCACTTCAACAACTAGATATAAAGAATGCCTTTTAAATGGAGAAACTGGAGAATGAAGTGTGCATGGATGTTCCAACTGGCATCCACTCAGAAGAGGCTTCCGGGAAGGTATGAAAGCTAAAGAAATCACTCTACGGGCTCAAACAATCATCACGAGCATGGTTTGAATGCCTAACGCAAGTGGTGAAACAAAAAGGTTTCTATCAATGTCAAACCGATCATACCATGTTTATTAAAACATCTACGACCAGAAAGAAGACTATTATGATCGTCTATATGGATGACATTATTCTGACAGGTGATAACAGGCAAGAAGTGAAGGACCTAGTGAAGTTGAAATACTTTCAAGAGATGGAAGTAGCAAGGTCTCACGAAGGTATATTTGTCACCCAACAGAAGTGTACAATTGATCTTTTAAAGGAGACAGGGATGTTGGGGTGTAAGCCGTCATTAACATCCATGGATCCAAACGGAAGTCATCAAAGAGGGGATGGAGAATTTACATACCAAAGGTTAGTTGGGAAACTAATCTACCTAACACATACTAGACCTGACATAAGCTTTGTTGTTGGTATGGTAAGTAGATTTATGAACCAACCAACCAAGGATCACATGAGGCCGTGGTCCGGATTCTGAAATATCTAAAGAAGAGCCCAAGAAAAGGGTTATTCTTGGGAAAGTCAGAAACCAGAGAGGTACAAGTCTTCACCGATGCAGATTGGGGAGGCACAAAAATGGATGGAAGATTGATCCACTGCACTTACGTTTGGGGCAACTTGGTCACTTGGAGGAGTAAGAAACAAGCAGTGGTGTCTCATAGCAGTGCAGAAGCTGAGTTTAGAGCAGTGTGTCATGAGATCTGTGAAGGAATATGGCTGAGAAGAGTTCTGACAGAATTGGGAATAATGCTGCCGGCCCGACAAAGTTGTGTAGTGACAACAGAGCTGCTATCGAAATTGCAAAAAACCCTGTGCACCATGAGAGAACAAAGCATGTAGGGCATGATAGGCATTTCATCAGAGAGAAACTGGAAGAGGGCATGCTAGAGCTAGTTTATGTTCCTTCAAAGCACCAAGTAGCTGACATTCTTACAAAAGCTCTACCAAAGCCGATTTTCGAAGTGTTTATATGCATGCTGGGTATGATTGACGTTCATAGCCCAGCTTGAGGGGGAGTGTGGAAATCCGATAAGCGTTGGATTATTCACATGGTTAAGTTGTTAAGATAAGCTTCCTTTTATTATTATTTTTTTATAGATCAGCTTAATATGTGCTTATCTGAATTCTGTTTTTTCCTAGTTTATAGGTAGCTGCTGTGTAATTAAACTTGTTTCTGGTTCTCGGTTGAAGTACAATTCAATAGAGAAATATTTTTCTCCTGTTCCAAAATCTTTATAAACATATAACCAAATCTATGCAATTTTGCTTTTGATAGATACTAGGTTACTTGAACTAAAGAAGGTAGTTCCCATTTTAACAAGGGTTGTAAGTCCTCATAAAGAAAAGCATCACAACCTACAACATGAAACTATAAAAAGTGCACATTGTTTTTTAATGTAAAATTGACTAATTGTTAACATCAAGATTTTCTTTAATATTCTTTAACAACTGGTTAATCTATTTAACTGTACTCGTTGTCAGCTTATCAACAGTTGCATCAATTTTGAAGTTTAAAAAGAGTCTGGTTTGACCATAGAAATCAAGAGTACACCTCTGTTCTTGAGAAAAGAAGAAGCCATGTAACATGAAATTTTGAACTTTTGACCAATGTGTGATCAGAATTTTCTGAAGGTGTTGCTTCTTACAGACGTTATATTTCTATAGCTCTACTACTACATTTGTAACAAAAAAAGGTGAGAGATACATTTAGACTTCTTGATACAAGACCTACACCCTCATTCCCACCAAAAACAATGTAAAGTTTCCTTTTCTAAGTAAGATTACAATTCCATACCTACTTTACCCATTAGCAATCATAACAAGACATTGATTATGGTCAATGTTTTTCACAACTTCGTTAGGATTTTATGTATGTGTTAATAGTCATGGCCCTCATGGGTTTTCTACTAGCTAATAACACCAATTGTTCATATTGTAGTACTAATTATGAAGTCTCATGTAGATATCAGTTTCTTCCATAATGAACCCACACGGCTGTTTGGTTGGTTTTCTATTAAGTATTGGATTAATAAAGTTGTATGTGTGGATTAACTTGTTTGTATAGATTGGAAAGGTTTTTATGAGAGAGTTTTTTCATAGATTGAAGGAGTGTTGGGAGGGGAAGGTTTGTACAAAGCTCCCCTTAAATAAGCCAATATCTATATCATTAAGCCATGCCGATTGTCGGTCCCATTAAGCTCATTAAGCAGCTAACAGAGAGACCCTATTACTTTTTCTGGCAAATAGGAAGCTTAAATTACCATGGATTTATAAGAGGGAAAAAGAAAGACAAGGGGTTGCCCCTTTCCACATATGAAATTGACAAACCCAAAACACATCATTATCACAGTGTTGATAAGATGAGAAAACACGAAATAAGAGAAAAGCCTCAAATACCTGCGCCAGTGACCAATCGAGGCGCCAAAACCATGAACAAGAAGCACCGGAGGGTTTGATTTATAACCATTATCTCCTTCATATTTCAAGTAATTAATAGTGTAGCCTCTCCAGTCCCACTTACTGCATATATCCTTGATCTTATTCACCTCCAATGTCGTAATTGGCAACCCTTCCTCGTCTTGTATCTCACCGCTAGCAGCAGTCGTGCTTGTACTCCTACAAATTCCAGAAGCCGATGACGTAAAATAGCTCTTACTCAGATTGATGGCGTCGAGAGAACTTCCCCTAACGATTTTCCGGCGAAGATTAAGCAGGTCCACCGCACGCCGCTGGGCAATTATCAGTGGAAGTGGTGGTGGTGGTGGGTGATGGATAGCTGTTGCCTTAACCGTCAGTGCCATTTTTATTTTTGTTTCTTTTTTTATTTAGTTAATTCCCGACAGTTATTCTAGTACCAATTGGATGTTTCATTTTACACCTCTAAGAATAAATGATTTCAATATTCAACCATCATTGTTTTTTTCTATTATTTTTTTTTTAACTTGAATATCCAACCCGCTATGTGAGCCGACTAATTTCAGAACGACCACCTGCTTTGTAGGTAGTCCGGAGTCACCACATTTGAACTTTCGTGGCCACTGCACAAGAGGATTTTTGTTGCTACTTGAATTTGAACCTGGGACCTCCAGACACTTTTGACTTTTCAAATCAAGTTGAAAGCAATCATTCACCATCCTTGTGATTGAAAATATTCATTTTATTTTTAGCGGATAAATATATAAATTAAAAAGATGAGTAGAAGAAAAACATGTCAAAAGGGTGAACGTTGCTCAAATTATATTAAGGTGTTTATAAACTTATAAAATCGTTTTATTTTCAAAACAATTATATTATTATTTATTAAAAATTATATTTTTATCATGAGTCAATTTGTTGTGGCCCGTTTTGACCTCAACTTATTATTCAAACTTGTCCATATTACTCTCTAATTGTTGTAACAAGGCTATATATAGCCCTATGAATCAATTTATTGATTATTTTCTTTGGTTGTTCCTGTGTTAGTAATCTACAAAGCATATATTAATGTTTTATAGCATTTCATAAAGTTCAGTAAGGGTTTTAAAGATAACAGAAGTGAAACAATCAACCAATAAATTTGCATCTAAATGTTCATGTTTTTTCCAATTGAGAAATTACCGTACAACTTCTTTTAACCATATACTTCATAAAAAAAAAAAGATTTATGAATCACATACTTGTTGTTTACCCAAATGCTTACCCGGTAAGTGCTTACCTATAGAAGTCAACACTATAATTTATTTTGATGAATAAGATCTTAGTACATCAAAATGTATTGAATGCAAAAAATTTACCGGGTATCTGGGTAGGAGTCGTAATCTTCACATACCGGGTAAGACCCTCCATCCTTCTCATCGCTCTTACTTGGTAAGATTCTTGGCCCTTGTCATGTTCATCCGATAAGAAATTTTATTTGGTAAGCATTTACCAAGTAAGTGTTTAGTAAACGGCCCCTTATACTCGTGATTATCTTGAGACTAGATGATGTTATAACATCATATCTCCACTTTTCTTTTGTGCTTTACATCCTTATAAGTGTTTTTAATGTTTTCGGTATTATTTTATATTCTTCTTTTTTTATGGATTAGAAATAATCTGTTTTGGTAACTTTTGGGCTGAAATCAAGAATTTGGTAGCAGTTGTTGTAGCAGCAGCAGAAAACGGTTGTTTGGTTGATGAAGTAACAATATTACGTTGGTTGAGTTTGGATGAACTAATCTCCCCGAATACATTTGGAAATAGATGGGCAGTAGTTGGATTTACTTAGCGTACTAGTATATTGTATATTTTTTAGGCATTTCATTTTCACCTTTGTACTTTTGGTAGGACCTAATAAAATATCATCTGTGAATAACTTAAAAGATGATTATGTTTGTCTACATCTCCTAGTTTAGTATATATTCATTCCTTGTACATCTCAGTGGCCACACACATCCTCCTAGCCCCCACCTAACGAATGGCTACTCCACACCACCATGGTCTCCAACTAACTTCATCCGACCCCTGTACTCCTCACTCTAACATTCAGTAGGGAGGTACCTCACTAGCCCTTAGTTGACCCTCCCCCACATCAAGCACACAACGCCACTGCTTATTCCATATATGCTCTAAACAATCATTGGTACATAGATACGAGATCAACATCTCATATGGCATCAAACCATGGTACACTTTCCAGCATTTTTACTTCAAGTACATCTAAGCATATTATTGTCAGGAATGGTAATTCTCTCCCAGCTACTACCTTAGGTACAACCTAATTCTCATTCCCTTTCTAATCTTTCTTTACGCAATGTTTTAGTTATCCTTAACCTTGTTTACGTTCGACAATTCACTACCGTTCACTCTTGTCTCCACAGAATTTGGTCCATGTCGTTTTTCTGTGAAGGATATACAAACGGGGACCCACCTTATGCGATGCAATAGCAACGGTGATCTTTATCCACTCCTATCTTTCCGGCCTCTTTCACCATCGACTTTTATTGCTTCTACCTCTTTCTTTTGGCACAATCGACTTGGACATCTAAGCACACCCATTTTTAGCAAACTTATTTCCCATCATTTACTTTCTCCTGGTAGTTATACTTCTCCTGGTTTTTGTGTTTCTTGTCAATAAACTTCTGCATTTTTCATCTAGTTCTTTATCTATGGCACCAATTGAATTAATACACAGTGATATTTGGACTTCATCGATTGTTATTGTTAGCTCGAGAGGTTATTTATTATTCCTTGATGATTACCCGAGTTTTGCATGGGTGCTTCCTTTAGCCAACAAGTCTCAAACATTTTCTGTTTTCATACAATTCCACGCCTATGTTCGTGCTCAATTTGAAAAAGAAATAAAAATGTTTTAGTGTGACAATAATCGAGAATACGATAACACCTTCTAAACATTTTGCACCAAAAAAAAAACATCTAACCACGCTTCTCGTGTCCCTATACCTCATCTCAAAGCGGTAAAGCGGAACAGAAATTGCAAACCCTAAATAAAATGATTAAAACCTTCCTTTTAAATGCTCATGTCCCGCCTTCCTTTTGGCCTCATTCCCTCCAAATGACAACCTATCTCCATAATTTTCTTTTGAGCTCGACCATTTCTTACTTTTCCCCAACTAAACTTCTTTACAGTAAACTCCACTCATATTAACACCTACAGGTGTTTGGGTGTTTGTGTTTCCCCCATAATTTTCCCCCACTACTCATAAAAACGATCCTCGTTCCACCACTTGCATATTTTTGGGTTTCCTGTCGAATCATCGAGGATACAAAATGTTTTGACATGTACTCCAACAAGATCATTGTGTCTCGTCATATCACATTCGATGGAACCTCCTTCTTGTTCTCCCAGTCAACCACCAACCACGTAACTTTCCTTTCTAGATGATCCACCCCACCTTTTTTTCCACCATTTCGGTCTTCCCACTTGTCCCACACACTACTAGAAAACTGGGCATTTCCGGCGGATTTTCCGGCGGACAAATTCCGCCGGAATATTTCCGGCGGATTTCCGGCGGTATTTTAAAAAGTCAACTTTTGTTGACTTCCGCCGGAAATCYGCCGGAATTACACCGGAAAAGTTAAACCGTTTATATTTCCGGCGGATTTCCGGCGGATTTCCG